ACATGCCCTTACATATATCCGTACCTGCATGCATGTCCATATATAATATTTTCTGACTACAGTCCACTTATCGACGTTCCACTGTGCCATCATATGCCCTACATGCCCTTGCCCTACTTGCATGCATGCCCATATATTTCTAAATATGTTCTGCCTCCAATTTCAGAAAATATATAACCAAATAAATTAAAAAAAAAAAATCAATTAATTATAAATTCATGTATTTATAATTATAACTACGAAAATTTATTAACGTCTTATTTTCCGTTCGAGCAAAGGGCCAGTGGTTTTTAATTCACCTTTCCGGCCACTCGTCGAAAATTTAATTCTCAAAAAATTATAAATAAATAATTTATTTGTCGATCTTCTGTCAGAATCGAGCCGCGGTTTCAATTCCACCGTTCCAGCTTCGGGATAATTAACCTCAATTGATTAAAACTTGAGATTTTCATCCCCACCCGTCTGTCTCCATAATAACTAAATCCGGCAATTAGGCAAAAATTAATTATTTATTTTCTCTCTGTGTTAAATTCAAGCCAATGTCAAGTCCACCTTTCCGGCTCCGCCAATTCGAAAATAGTTAGGAATTAAATATTTACATACGTACGAGCCATACTAGTCGAAATATACATATATAGACAGTCATCAATTATTTTTCCGAATTTCCGGTCCTTGTCCATTTTCCGTTCCGTCATTTTTTCCTTACGCTGCTTCTATTCCGCATCTGGCAACATCCGCCTAGAATCTCGACAAACCTTGGCCCATCTGGTTTTCTGGCTTCCTGAAGTTTCTCGCACATCCGAATTGTGCCGCATCCGACGTTCTTCTCGACATCGACGCTACTAATTCCCACTTGGCCTTGCAATCGCATTTCGTCCGAGATCTCACCGGTCTCATCACATTAGTGACCGGCTACCGCTTCGTACGAGCCACCTATTGCGCAAGTAAGTCGGCAAGCGCTGACCAGCGAATTGGTGTTTGAGAATGCCCACGGGAGACGACCAAAAGCCACGTCCGATCCCAACCATCCGTTTGGAGAGATCTCAATCCGCTTCTCCGCGGACGCCTATTTTAAAGCCTAAGGCGTACAGTGCCATTCCAAGGGCGAAGAGTGACGAATCCGTCAACACGATCTCCGGTCCTTCACAGAGGCAGACTCGTTCCGTTGCAAAAATGGCTCAAAGTGCGGTCGACGTGGCGCTGAAGAAGTTCATCGCCACTTCAGATCGAGTTAGCCAATTTGAGGCCAACATAAATACTCCGGCCGCCAGAGAAACGGAAGTGGGCTCCCAATACATGTGCGAAGTCCATCGGGACCAAATTCGGGCACTGTGGGAGAAGGTGGAGAAAAGCTATGAGAGCTGCTCCGATTTGCTAGCCGAGTCCGGCGACAATGCGGCCATCTCGACAGTGCTGGAATCGAAGTACAGCTACAGTTACTCCGTCTATTCGAGGTGTATTGCCCAGCTTCGGGAGAAAATTGCCACCCAATCCACTCAGATTTCCGTCAATATACACACGCCCGCGTCTACCGGTTGCCGGTTACCTCCGGTGGATACTGAGGTCTTCGCGGGTGATTATCTTCGGTGGCCCACCTTCCGAGACTTGTTTACGGCCATTTACATCCAAAACTCGCGGCTCACCCCGGTAGAGAGGTTGTTCCACTTGCTGTCCAAAACAAGTGGGGATGCCCACGCCATTGTTTCCAAGGCTCCGCTTACCCATGAGGGGTTTGTCGTCGCTTGGCAAAACCTCACAGACCGCTTTCAGAACCGGCGGCTACTGGTCAATAGCCAGTTGAAAATCCTTTTCAACCTCCAGGCTATTTCGCAAGAGTCCGGGGTCGCGCTGAAGGAGCTCCAAGCCACCATTCAGAGTTGTCTGACAGCCCTAGCAATGTCCGCCATCAATGTTGAAGCTTGGGACTGCCTCCTGGTGTTTATGATTTCGTCAAAGCTCCCCAAAGTCACACTTTCCATGTGGGAGCAATCCGTTCATAACAAGGCCGAAATTCCAACATGGAAGGAATTAGATAACTTCCTGACAGAGCGCCATCGCACTCTGGAGGCCATCGACGACGTCAGGCCTAGTGGCTCCGTGCAATTTCCGCCAAGGTCGGGACTTCCTACTGCCCCTGCTCGGAGGCTCACTTCATACGAGACTCGAGTGGTTCCGGGCCAAAAGGGCTGCGATCTCTGTTCGAGGGAGGACCACCCCATTCGCTTATGTCCGCGTTTCCTAGAGATGGATGTAAATGGGCGCTCTGACTACATAAGGAGGAAGCAGTTATGTTTAAACTGTTTTGCCCGAGGGCACCAGCAGCGAGACTGCACGAGCGCCCATACCTGCTCCACATGCTACAGCAGACACCACACCCTCTTGCACCGCGGCAATCCATTCGCAACCGCTTCAAGTCCGCCTACGCAGCTTACCGCTCCAAGTCCGCCTACGTCAACAAACGGCTCAGAGGATCAGTCGAATGTGCAGGTGTGTTTCGCTTCCAGGTCAGGAGCCGTCCTACTGGGCACGGCCCTTATCAACGTGTGCCATTTGGGGTGCACCGTCCAGGCACGAGCACTGATAGACTCAGGCTCCGAAGCGACATTCATAACGGAACGACTGTTCAACCTCGTCAAGCCTCCCTTCAAGACGATTCAAGCCCAAGTTTCCGGCCTTAATCAAACCATTTCCGCGCAGTCTACTAAATTGTGCCATTTCTCTATTCGGTCGCCGTCAAGACCCGGGCTACAATTAGAGACTGCGGCTTACGTTCTTCCGCAGTTGGCAGGAAATCTGCCATCATATCCGATTTCGCGAGATCGTTTCAAGGGGCTGCCCAATATTACCCTGGCGGACCCCAACTTCTTTGAGAGCTCCCAAGTCGATGTGTTATTAGGAGCTGACATTCTTCCGTCCATTCTCCTCGGTAATTCCAAGGCTAACATCTGCGGGTCGCTTCTCGGTCAGGAGACCATTTTCGGATGGGTGCTGACAGGCCCATTATCTCCAGCCAACCCCCGCAGCGTGTCTGTTTTTTCCGCACGAGTTGCCCGCAGCCTCGGTGACTCACTGGTTCAGGGTTTCGATTCAGGATGCGAGCATAATTCTGTTACGACTCCTTCTTCGATTTACACATCGCGTCACGCTGCACGGTGGCAATCAGCTGATGATCCGACTGATCTGGGCCTAATTCTAGATTCCAAGGTCATATTCAGCACGATGTCGCCACGCCCACGCAACGCCCCGTCACTGGAGAGCAGATGTACTCGAGGTACACTATCCTACCGATGCCGAGTCTGCAATGGGATCCATCCGTTGAAGAAGTGTCGGCGCTTCCTACGCCTTAGTGCCGAGGAGCGGCTCCGAGCGGTTCTCGTGAACCGCTATTGCTCGAGCTGCCTGGCCCACGAGCACTCCGACGGATCCTGTCGGCGTGGGGACGGCTGTAAGACGTGTGGTCAGGGTCACCACACGCTGCTGCACCCCGGGACCAAGGAGCACCGGTCACCGCCCACGGGGGACAGTACACGGGGTGTCTCGCTCTCTCGTCGGCCGTCATCCGCCAACTTCCGGCACGGGTGCTTCTCGCCCTGCGTCCGCTATTTTCCGGCACTCACAAGCCGATCCACGGCCATCGACTTCCCGGCGCTCGCCGTCAACTCCTCGGCATTCTTCCGCCACTGGCTGGCAGGCGTCAAGCGCTCCACTGCTTTCGTCCGCCACTCATCGGGTGCCGTCCACCGCTCTTCCGCCCGCGTCATCCGCGCCTAGGCAACTTTCCGCCTCTCCTCGAGGGCCCCCGCAGGACGCGCTCGCTGCGCCCACCCTATCGTCGCTACTGAGACGGAACAGCGTCAACATCGGGACCCGGATTATATATATAGTTTATAAACCGATATATATCCGGTTTCAACTGCAAGGGTATATCAACTTCGGCTCTGCCCGAAGCTAGCTTTCTTCTCTTGTTTTTTGTTTAAGTTTTGGGCTGTCAAGTGAGGCAAAATTAGAGCAATTGAGAGAAGTTAAGAAGAACCGTGGATCTGGAAGTCAAAGAGTAAGTGTGGATAAGCGCATTAAAGAAAAAAATGAAGGCAAGCCCGCAAAAATTCATGGATTACGTCGAAGAGGGCGGATTGATGCACCGCCACGTCGCGCATAGAGCGGGAAGCGAGGAAGTGGCGTCATGGAAGTTGCGCGTGCCCACGGAGTCGAGGCAGCAGGTCCTCAAAGAGAACCATGACGCACTAGCGACAGGACACCTAGGCGGGAGGAAGACGATAGCCAGAGTGGCCGCGAGGTACTTCTGGCCAGGGATGCAAAGGGACATCCGTAAGAACGTTAGGAAGTGCGAAACTTGTTTAAAGTATAAGCCGTGCCAGATGCAGGCAGCAGGACAAATGCTGACACAAGTCCCGGAAGAGCCATGGGCAACAGTGTGCGCGGACTTCGTGGGTCCATTGCCAAGGTCGAAACACGGGAATACAATGGTATTGGTAATAATGGACCGGTTTTCGAAGTGGACGGAGATAGTGCCGCTACGGAAAGCAACTACCGAGGCACTGCAAAAGGCAATCAGAGAAAGGATTGTCGCTCGGTATGGAGTTCCGAAGAGGGGGGCCCATAGCCTAGTGGGTAGTATAGCTGCACGCTAAGCGTTGGGTCGTGGGTTCGAACCCCACTCATGGCAATCATGACCTCGAATGTTTTTCGGCTTCATTATGCTTAGTGGTCTCTTTTTCGATGCTACTAAACATGTGAGGTCGAAAAACGGTATTCCCAGATATCGACAGGTGGCAGCCCCACCTCTGCCTGGTTGCACCTGGCTAATCACCGGATCAACCGAATAAAAACCGATTAACGAAACTAATACAAGAAGAGAAGAAACCAACCACCCGCCCAACCCGTTGACGACCATTCGCATATCGAAACGGACACGAATTGGACAATGGAACGTGAGGACTTTAATGGAACCAACCAGACTGGCGCAGTTTGAAGGAGAAATGGAGAAAATGCGGATCGCAATCGCAGGCATCAGTGAGATGAGATGGAGAGGCAACGGGACAACAACAACATCAAGCGGCAATCTAGTGATGCACAGCGGGACCAAGGATGGAGGCAGGAGCGGAGTCGGGATATATGTGTCCAAACAGTACAAACAGGCACTAATTTCCTGGAGCCCAGTATCCGACAGAATCATCATTGCCAGATTCCGATGCAAAGCTAGACACATCACCATCGTGCAGTGCTATGCCCCAACAGAAGACGCCAGCGATGACATCAAAGACGACTTCTACAACGCCCTCACATCCTCACTCACTAGGATCGAAAGAGGTTACATAAAAATTCTTATGGGAGACTTCAATGCGAAAATCGGCCCCAAAAACAACGGATTGGAAACAATCATGGGCCGACATGGTGTTGGCACACGCAGCAATAATGGTGACAGGCTAATCGACTTATGTCAGACCTTCCAACTGGTTATTGGTGGCATTGCATTCCCCCACAAGGAAATCCATAAATACACATGGACCTCTCCGAATGGACATACTCGCAACCAAATCGACCACATCTGCATAAGTAGAAAATGGAGACGCTCGTTAATGGATGTTAGAAATAGGAGAAGTGACCACGAGCTGATAATCGGAGAGCTTTTAATCAAGCTCAGACGAAATAGCAACACTGTCAACAGGACCACAAGAAGACCGCCTCCCATTAACATACAACGGCTGAGTGAGTCCAACCTATCCACCAGAATGGCCACAACGTTGCGTGAAGAGATGACAACACAACCGTTGAATCACTCATGGGAACAAACATGCAGTATACTGAGGAGCACCGCGGAGGAGATGCTTGGCACCCGACAACGCAGGCGCACGGATTGGACATCAGCGCACACTTGGGAACTTATCAGCAAACGGAACAGCCTAAAGTCGAAAGCAGATCATGACTGCAGAGCTCGCGACGAACACAAAGAGCTATGCAAGATGCTGAAGAAATCAGCACGAAACGACAAAAGGAAACTTCTGGACAAGCTCGCTGAAAATGCAGAAAGCGCAGCCAACACGAACAACATGCGCTCACTGTACCAGATAATTAGTCAACTGACCGGAAGCTGCCATAGACGAACCCAACCAGTGCGGGACACAGAGGGAAGACTCCTTACTGGTGATGAGGCACAACTCCAGAGATGGCGACAGCACTTTATGGAGATCAGCTGCACAGAACAACCGAGCAGCACGCAAGATAACTTCAGGAGTATTGTACCGAGCCATAACCTCAGAGTATCACCCACGGCACCATCAATTAGAGAAATAAAGGATGCAATCAGGAAATTAAAACGCAACAAAGCGGCTGGAGATGACGGCATACCGGCCGAACTTCTACAGATTAACACGCAACTAATGGCCGAAACACTGCATCCACATTTCAATAATATATGGGAAAGTGAGCGGATCCCAACATCCTGGAAAAAAGGAATCATCATTAAGCTACCGAAGAAAGGAGACCTCAGTGACTGCAACAACTGGCGAGGCATTACCCTGTTGAACACAAGTTACAAGGTACTAGCCACTCTACTAAACGAACGTCTTCAGGAAAAAATAGAGCCAACAATACGAGATGAACAAGGAGGTTTCAGACCACACAGGAGCTGCGTAGACCAGGCAAACACACTACGCGCAATAACCGAAAAAACTGTGGAATGGCGCTTGCCGCTGTACCTCCTGTTCATAGATTTCCAGAAGGCATTCGATTCGGTAGACAGAGCAGCGATATGGAGGGCACTTGCAAGAAAGGGAGTGCCAGTGAAAATCATAAACATAGTGAAAGCTATGTATGATGATGCTGAGCTGGCGGTACTGCACAACGGGAAAATTAGTGCACCCTTCCAGACGAACACAGGCGTCAAGCAAGGATGTCCTCTATCACCACTTCTGTTCAACTTGGTAGTCGACGAAATTTTGAGAGAAGTATGCATGAACAGACGCGGAATCACCTGGAACTTCACCCGACATCTAGAAGACTTGGATTACGCGGACGACATATGTCTCTTGGCTCACAAATTCGAAGACATTCAAGCCAAAGCTAGGGACCTCGAGATCCGAGCCAGCGCAGTAGGCTTAAAGATCAACGCATCAAAAACGAAAGCTATGCGGATCAACAACTCCAACACAAACAACATCACAATCGGAGATAATACCATCGACTTTGTCGACAGCTTCACCTACCTCGGTCATAACATCAAATGGTGGAGTGGAAAGTGATGTGGAGAACCGACTGCGCAAAGCGAGGTCTGCATTTGGAAGACTACACCGAGTATGGAGAAACCAGCAGATAAACAGAAAAATAAAGCTGCGCATATTCAACTCGTGTGTAAAATCCATACTGCTATACGGATCGGAGACGTGGCTGACTACTCAAAGGATATTGATGAAGTTGCAGGCTTACATCAATAAGTGCCTAAGAATAATACTTGGGGTATTCTGGCCAGATAGAATATCCAATGAGGACTTATGGCACTGCACAGGAGAGGTCCCAATCCAGGAGAAAATAAAGAAATGGAAACGGAAATGAATTGGCCACGCTCTGAGGAAGGAACCAGGAAGCATCGTAAGAATGGCTCTGGAATGGAACCCACAAGGAACCAGAAGAGTGGGTCGCCCAAAGATGACCTGGCGCCGTACAGCACTCCTAGAAATATCCCGGAAGAACATCAGCTGGGACACAATAAAGCAAACAGCGGCAAATAAAGTTAGGTGGAGAGCCCTTGTAGAGGCCCTAAGCTCCCAAGAGAAGTAATAAGGAAAAAAAAGCTTATTAGCAGCTTTAAGAAGTTCCTCGGGGAGCTCGGCGTGCGCCACCAGTTAACCGCACCATATACGCCGCAAGAAAATCCAACAAAGAGAGCGAATAGAACAAAACTATGATCGCCCAGTTTGCTGGGAAGGACCAGATGACGTGGGATGAGCACTGGCCAGTGCTAATGCTGGCAGTGAACTCGGCATCATCGGAACCGACGGGATATTTGCCATGCTTTATAACGCAAGGCAGGGAGCCAAGGATGCCGCGAGCTTTGTTCGACGAAAACGTTTGGCACAAGAGTTGGGCAAGGAACGCCCACGGAGAACGCGAAGAAGCTGAATGAAGTCTGCGAAATAGTGCGGAGGAACATGGAGCGGGCGGCCCAGGACCAGGCGAGGGACTAAAACTTACGGAGGCGAAAGTGGAGCCCAAAGGTCGGCGAGACAGAGGAGGTGGCCGAGGGATTCGCAGCAAAACTAGCGCCACGGTATGATGGGCCCTTTACGGTCGTCAATTTCGTGTCGTGTAATTGTCATTATACGGCACGGAAGGACCAACAAAGAAAAGAGGGCACACGTGAGTGAGCTGAAGTGCCAAGATATTGAATCACCGCGAAAGAATAATAAAACAGGCACAGTAAACCCGCACAAATGTGCAATAGGAATGCACAGAGGAAAACGGACATGTCCAGTAACGGGAGCCTTAACAGATCCAGTGACGGAACCGCAATGGGACATATCCATTAACGGGAACTAGATGTGCTACAAAAGGCGGCTGCTGGGAGGAGCACTGTCTATTCAAAAATTCCATTAAGCAGAGCAAGATGTTCGACTCGGAAGCCACCATCGTAGTATCGTCGTAGTAGAACGGAAAAGGATGAGGACGGAGTGGGCGATCGAACGGGCAGCAGGAGGAAGGAGGCGCATACCCGTCGGTCGCGCCACGGTGGAGGAGCGGCGCCGGAGCGAAGGGCTAGATCTCCGAAGGAGAGCCGAAAGATGCCGCCAGCGACAAAAGGCGATGGTCACCGTGGCGGACATGGCCAGAAAGAGGGCCCAACGCGCGGAGGAGATGTGTGAGGAAAACGCCCGGAAGTGGAAGTAGGCGCTGAGAGATGGACGTGAGCGAGCCATGAGGAGGGCAATGGCAAAGGGGATGCGTCTGCGATGGGCAGGTGGCGAAGAGGAAGGAGGCAGCAAGGAGGACACGGCCAGCAACGCGGGGCCAACAACACCACGCCCACGACCTGAACGCCCGGAGGAGAAAGAGGTGGCGACGCAGAGTGCAGCGGGCCCTGGAAACCCACCGGTGCACCACATACCAGCAGCAGAGATCCGGGGCCGGGGGAAATGAGGGGCCACGGACAGTGACCCGCCAACGGAAAAGTGGCGTGATTCTGGAAACAGGAATAACGGCAGGAGCAGAGTCCAGGAGGAGTCCAGGAGCGCCCATTGGCGCTCCAGTCAGTATAAAAGGAGGCCCATTGGAGCGGCTCGGGACCAGTCTTTTTAGGAAGCTTGTAGCTTTGAGTTGGAGGACCGCCTGTGGAGAGTCCGCCATTCAAGTGTTAGAGCGTTTCTAAAAAGGATTCGATTTGTTTGAGTTGAAGGACCGCCTTTGGAGAGTCCGACAGCCAAACTCAAGCGAGTAGACAAATAAGGAAAGGATCCATTGCTGGACTTTCCTCTAAAAACCTAGGGTCGTGTAGTCGAGTTGGTCCATTCCCGAACACGGCAGGTAGCCTTGTAAGGAAGTGAGGAAAGGATACGTGTGGCGTATGCCTTACCAACTCCTGGAATCGCAACCAACAGGCGTGGCCCTGCGAAACAAGGATAGACTGACTCGGGATCGCACGGCCGGTCTACACGAGATGTAAAGGACGAGACACAAGACAAAACCAGGGTGGGGAGATCGAGTTGGGCCATTCCCGAACACGGCGGTAGCCTTCCAAGGAAGTGAGGAAAGGAATAGTCTGGCGTTTGCCTTACCGAATCCTGAAATCACAACCAACAGGCGTGGTCCTGCGGAACAAGGAGGCCGACTTGGTATCACACGCCCGGTAGTCACGAGACGTACAGGACAGGGGAGACAAGGGAGCAAGGACCCGTTGCTGGATGATTTCCTCTATGAGCCCGGGGCGTCAGAGTCGAGTAGGGTCATTCCCGAACACGGCAGGTAGCATTGCAAGGAAGTGAAGAACGGATAAGTCTGGCGTACGCCTTACTGATTCCTGGAATCGCAACCAACAGGCTTGGTCCTGCGAAACAAGGATCGGCCGACTCGAGAACTCACGCCCAATTCAAAGACCGAGTGAGAACACCCCGGTCACCAGCCCCGCCAATACAAACTCGGGTTCGCCGGCGCGTATGCACGGTGTCCCGGTGTAGCGGGAGCGCGACGCACGGTCAGTCACGCGGCAACTTCCAAACCTGGCACCGGAGCGTATGCACGGTGCCTTAGTGTAGCGAAGGCGTCACACAGTAACTTCCAAACCTGGCACTGGAGCGTATGCACGGTGTCCCGGCCCGCCGGCGCGTATGCACGGAGGTTCTTAGGAGTAGGGGAGCGAAAGATCACTGCCAATCCTCTAACCAGTCGTAGTCGACTCAAGGGGGGTGTTCTCAAGGCAAAAGGGCGGAGGGTAGCGGAATCGTTAGCAGCGCGGCAACAGGGGTAGCATCGGCGACGGAGTAGCGGCGGCGTATCCTGAACAACCCGCAGAGGATTCCGACGACGGAGCCAGCAGAAACGGAAGGAGCAACGAGGAAAAGAGAAAGAAATCCTTTTGTAGTGTAAAGAAGTCTCGAAATAAAGAGTGCGGAAACTTCAAGCTATTTATATTATTTTCTGGGCTTGGACAATCACGTCGAATCTATAAATTCGGTGGAACGGATCCGCGAAACTCTGTGAGCTAGCCGAGGCGAATTGTGGCGAGCGGAGGCGAAAGGATCGTTTCAAAGGAACGATCGGAAATGACCCAACTTTTTTGTTTTAGTACAGAGTATATTTTTGGTCAGTTAATCCGACCTTCCAAATTTTATAACGATATAACTGAACGATCGGAAATGGTATTTGGTAGACTTGGGACTTTTATTTAGACATTTTATTGTAATTAATTGGCTTTATTATGATATTCTCATAAGGATCGGCCTTTTATATCCGATGTTTGCGATACATATCCGGTTTCAACTGCAAGGGTATATCAACTTCGGCTCCGCCCGAAGTTAGCTTTCCTTTCATGGTATACCCTTGCAGAGGGTATTATAATTTTGTCCAAAAGTGTGCAACGCAGTGAAGGAGACATCTCCGACCATATAAAGTATGTATATTTTTGCTCAGGATCACCTCCTGAGTTGATATGAGCATGTCCGTCTGTCCGTCTGTCTGTCTGTTTCTACGCGAACTAGTCTCTCAGTTTTGAAGCTATGTTTGGCAAAACATAACGACGTGCCAAATTATAAGAATCGGCCGACTATATCCTATAGCTGCCATATAACTGAACGATCGGAAATGGTTTTTGGTAGAAATACCGATTTTTTTTTTTTTTTGAAGATAGAATATTTGGGACTTTTTTTAGATTTTATATTATAATAAATTGGGTTATATTATCATATTCTCATAAGGATCGGCCAACTATATCCGATGTTTGCAATATATATCCGGTTTCAACTGCAAGGGTATATCAACTTCGGCTCTGCCCGAAGTTAGCTTTCTTTTCTTGTTTTTTGTTTAAGTTTTGGGCTGTCAAGTGAGGCAAAATTAGAGCAATTGAGAGAGTTTTTGAAAAAAAAACTTTGAGCGAACTCATTTTATTAGTGTGGC